TTTTTTTTTTTTTTTTTTTTTTTTTTTCATTTTCTTTTTGATCATTGGATCAATTCATATTTGGACCCCCTGCCACGGTTGCTTCCTTGCTTTCTCCTCTATACCCACTTGATTGTGTTTCTGGGTGAAAGGGATGCATGTCATGCTGGAAGCTATGAGCAAGAAAATCGATAAAACCTCTCCTTAATTCTCACCTTCCCACTAGCATGTGGCTATGATGGTCTATTTAAATAGATGATGGTCAATACCTCACTTCGGAGAAAGGAAGCCATGATCAATGCTTCTGTTGAGAAAGTAGTTCTCACAAAAACTGGAGAAAAAGTCAAGTGTCAAAAATCAGTAAAGTAAAATAGACGGGAGAAAAAAAATGAGCAACTCCTCAGTGATGTAGGCAATGAGATTAAGCCACTTATGTGTGCCTTTGGTTCTTGATAAAATTAAAAAAAAATCTGTCTTTTTAGACCTTGTATATATCAAGAAAAGGTTATTTTTTTCCAAAGGAATCAATATCCTATCTGCTCCCCTAATCCCCTTTTAGGATTTAAAGTTAGTTGGGTGAATTAAAATATGAAAGCAGTGTTTCAAACTGTAGCACTCAATGGATTCAGGAGAGATGGCTAAAAACGTAGATGCTGAGGACTCACATCCCGTATTGCACACCGAGTGGGTTGGGAGTGAATGTTCTGTGGGTGCTGCAGTTTACAGATGCCACCCGCTTCAAGTTTGATAAATGAGATGGTGATGGGTGAGGGCACCCAGATTTGTGCTTCCATAGGTATCCAAGGTGATTTTGTGGCTTTGCAGAATATAAATGTTTCTGTAAAATTGGTTGAATTTTGATATAACCTTTGGTCCAGGGGCCAAGAGGAAGACAAGGACCACCAGGAACTTTTGGACAAAAAGGGTTACCCGGTGCCCAGGTAGGTTTGAAAACTGAACAATTACAATACAACTGCTAATTAACGATGATTGATTTATAACCCTGAGGGTTCCTAGATGACCAGGAACTATACTGTGTGTTCTGGGGTCTGTGGGTATCAGGAATTTCTAGAAAAGCCAATTTGATGCAGTGGGTATTGATCATCAGCTATGTACCCCCTTCTATTATGGATATATTGTGGGAATGTAGTAACCCATAGGCATGGGTGTGAGCTTTAAAGGTATCTGACATAAGCTGGTATTTATCTATAGGGTAAGACAAAAATAATAGTACCATAAGAGAGGTATAAATAACTAATCTGCTACTTGTAAATACATAAGGAAGCATCCACTTTTATAGATAAGAAAACTGAGTCCCAGGGAGATTAAATGACTTGCCATCCAGACCCTGGGTGGCTGAACTGCCTTCTGAGTCTGAACTGAGTCTTTCTAGTGCCTGTTCTGCTTCCCACCTTGTTTCCTAATGGTTCATGGAAAGGTCAGACAGACTGAGACAGATAGTCAAAGCAGCTCCCCCAGGAAGAGAGCATTTGAGATTGCCTAGAAACCTGAGCAGCAGGATTGGAGTTAGGAATGAGAACCTCTAACTGGAGACTCAAAATAGCAGCTCCAGGATGGTGCAAGCCACGGTTCTGTCCTTGTTCTCTCCCTTGGTGTTTTAGTCAGCTTTGTTTTTTTTTTGCTGCTGAGAACAAAATACCAGACAAGAACAGTTTTAGGAGAGGAAACATTTATTTGGTGCTCAGGGTTTCAGAGGTCTCCATAGACAGTTTCGTCACTCTGGGCCTGAAGCGAGGCAGAACATTCTGGTGGAAGAATGTGGTGGAGAAAAGCAGCTCAGGACATGGCACCAGGAAGCAGAGAGAGAGAGAGAGTTCCTCACCAGGGACAAAATATATACCCCAAAGGCACATCCCCAGGGACCCACCTCCTCCACTCACACCCTACCTGCCTGCAGGTTATCACCCAGTTAATCCCTATCAGTGGACTAACACATTGACTAGATTAAATCTCTCAGAACCCAGTCATTTCACCTCTAAACTTTCTTGAATTCTCTCACAAATGAGCTTTGGGAGACGCCAAATATCCAAATCACAAAACTCTTGTCAGGAAAAATCTAGCCCTATAACTTTTTGTGTTATTTTAAATGTCATTTGAAAGTATTTTATTTTTTGGATCAGGTTTAAGTCTAGGTTTTTTTCATCCCGATCTTTTAATTGAATCATGTTTCCCCTTTGGTTTAGATAGCTTTTTGTTGTTGTGGCCAAAATACTTAACAAGACAGTGACCCACCTCCTCTAGCTGTGCTTCACCTGTCTACTGTTACCACCCAGTTGGTCCATTCAAACTAGGATGGGCTGATTTAGATTACAGCTTTCACAATCCAATCATTTCACCTCTAAATATCCCTTCACTAACAGGAGTTTTGGTGGAAACACTTCATATTCAAACCATAATGCATCTCTAGTATACAGATAATTCCTCCAATTTTTAAAATTTTTTTATGGTGCTGGGGATTGAACCCAGGGCCTTGTGCATGCAAGGCAAGCACTCTACCAACTGAGCTATATCCCCAGCCTTTCCAATTCTTAATTATGTGGTACATGTGTATACCTTACTCCTGTCTCCCAAACCCCCAGCCCAGAGCTTAAATGTTTATATTGTATATTTTGTATGTTGGAAGATAAAATTGACTAATTGTACTGAATATTGAAGGCTAAGCTCCATGATGGTTTAAGAGCACATTGTCAGTTCCAGACCATTTCAATAAAACAGATGTTCCTTGACTTACAACAGGGCCACGTCCCCATGAACCCATTGGAAGGTAAAAATATCATTAAGTGAAAAATGCATTTAATAGACCTAACCTGCCAAGCACCATAGCTTGGCGACACAGCACACTGTAGAGGATCAATTGTTTACCTTCACGATTACATGACTGACTGGAAGCCATGGCTCTCTGCTGCTCTTCAACATCACAAGACAGTATTGTATCACACATCACTGGACCTGGAATAGTTAAAAATTCAAAATTAGAAGTATAGATTTTAATGAATGCACCATTATAAATAAAAAAAAAAATTATTAAATCATGGAACATCTGTCCTTAGTGGTGATATTGGCCATGGTGTTGTTGCAGGGGAATCCTGGGCCTCCAGGGCCAAATGGTTCCAAAGGAAAAGCTGGGCCAAGAGGAATGAAGGTAAATGTCAGAGAACACTCTTCTTGATTGCAATTTTGGGAAGCCCCTGTTTTTTTTTTTAAATACTAATCTTTCCTTACATGATAATTTTCAGCATATGTCTCTAATGTGGTTGGTGAAGCTATTGATTGATCTTTACCTTATAGCTGGATAGTTGGATAAAAGGGAAAGACATATAGACAAATAGGAAGGGGGTGTGTGTCACATTCATCAGCAAACAGACATTAACAGAGAGAAATACATATTTACTGCAAACACAGGTTCACACGCCTATGTCTAGAAAAAGCCAAAGGAATAAAAAATTCTGCAATTTATGTTATGTATAAATTGGTTTTGCTAATATGCAGTAGCAGGGTCATTGCTATATTTGGAAGTATCTGTATTTAACAAAGCCAGAGAAAACCTTTAACAAAGCCTTTAGACTGTATTGTGATGCTAAAAGGACTTGAAAAGAGTAACAATAATTTCTGAGGAAAATAGTACAAAATTACATAAACTTGTGGGAGAAAATTAATCTCATCTTTTCTCTTTGTTATTAAAGGGAGAGCTGGGTAATGCAGGAGAGAAAGGCTCACGGGGTCAACAAGGACCAAGAGGGCAGCCTGTGAGTTTAGTTTCTCTGTTTTGAACTCTTGATTGAATTTCTTGTTTGGTATTTGTTCTTGTTTCACATAAAAATCTAATATTCTTGAATATTGAACTTGGGTTACAAATATGACATGATCACTATAGCTGCTGAGAATTGTAATAGTCAAAGATTCTCAAACTCCTGTAAAAATAAAGAATCCAAAGATGCCCTGGGATTTATTTTGCCTCCTTACGTGTTGTTGAAGAGGGAAGTGTCAATGAACCTCTTCTGTTGGACAAAGATGTTTTATAAGTATCTGAGTCTTTTGGGAATGCAGAGATGCCCAGTGAAACATTTTTCCAGGGCAGCAAACAAGACAGCCAATCAGAGTTGTGAACATTTAAGAGAATGCTTCGAACATCCAGAGTGTAGAAATAATGTTTGCAGACCAAAGATCATAAAAGACTTACTTCTACAAATAACACTGGCAAGGCAGGTCTATGTATTTTTACCTCAGTTCTTACTCTGAACAGAAGAATAAATTATCATATTTCACTGCATAATTGTTGCAGACTTTTCCCATGTTTTTTTAATGGTGCATTATAATTAAGCATAATGGTAGGATTCGTTGTTACATATTTGTACATGTCATTGCAGATTTTATGTCAAATTTTCTTGCAAAAACATGGGTTGCAACCATTAAGTGGAGTTTTTTTAAAAATTGTGCTGGTGGTAGTCCTTAAACATCGTTTATTATTAAACTGTTTTGAGCCCAAGGTTAGGATGCATGGAATACTCCTGAAGATACATTAATGTGGTGGCAATGATTAGGCAGTGAAATAGGGTGGTTATTTTGTGGCTATTTTCAGTTCACCACCTGATGGAAATCAGCTTTTATCATAAAGAGTAATGCTACCTTTCAGCTCATATTTCTGAGATTTCTTTCACCAGTGGCTAGGAAGGGTCTTTAGGTCTTTTTTTTTTTTTAATCACCCCCCCTTCCCCCTTCCTTTCTTTACACTGAAATAGTAGCAAGGAAAGGAAGCAAAAACAGGCCCAGGAGACTTAAACTTAAATGTGAAAAGGGGAAGAACAGAATAGGATTACTGTCAAGTGAAATATGAGGTAAATAATGGTCAGCTTCTATACTCTGAAAATTCAGCTGGTGAAACTAACATTTTGTTTGACTTCATTAAAATTTCCTGGCTAAAAGTAGCCCAAAGCTTGTGCCACCATCTCTACTGCTGCCACCCACAGCAGCAGCAACAGTGGCAGCAGCAACAATAACAACAACAACAACATATTTACCATTCATTAAGTACTTTCTACAGAGAAGGTACTAGCGTCGTGCTAGGGATTTTCCATGCATATTCTCAGTCTTCCCAATAACCATACCATGGAGATGATATTTATTATCTATATTTTACAGATGAGGAAACTAAAATTTAGAGAGGTTGAGCAACTTCCCCAAGGTCATTCATACAACCATATTGGCACTGAAATAAACATTCAGGTCTGGGGCTGGGAATGTGGCTCAGTGGTGGAGCATGTGCCTGGCACGCATGAGGCTCTGGGTTCCATCCCTAGCACCAGGAAAAATATTTAGGTCTCATTCTACCATCTTTTCTACCCCCATCCTCCTTTCCTTCCTCTCCCTCACCTTTGTCCAATCCAAAGTTCCTCCACTCATCCTATCCCCCAACCCCCATTATGGATTAGCATTCACTTATCAGAGAGGACATTCAGCCTTTGGTTTTTTGGGATTGGCTTACTTCACTTAGCATGATATTCTTCAACTCCATCCATTTACCTGAAAATGCCATAATTTTATTCTCTTTTATTGCTGAGCAATATTCCATTGTGTATATATACCACAGATTCTTTATCCATTCATCTATTGAAGGATGTCTAGGTTAGTTCCACAGTTTGGCTATTGTGAATTGAGATGCTATAAACATTGATGTGGCTGTGTCACTGAGTTATGCTGTCCTTTGGATCCAAGGAATGGGATAGCTGGGATAGCTAGCTATCTATCTAATGGTGATTCCATTCAATTTTTTTTTAAAGGAATCTCCATACTACTTTCCAGATTGTTTGTACCAATTTGCAGTTCCATCAGCAATGTATGAGTGTGCCTTTCCCCCCACATCCTCACCAACACTAATTGTTGCTTGTATTCTTGACAGTTGCCATTCTGACTGAAGTGAGATGAAATGTCAGAGCAGTTTTGATCTACATTTCTCTGATTACTAGAGATGTTGAATATTTTTTCATATATTTGTTGATCGATTGTATACCTTCTTCTGAGAAGTGTCTGTTCAGTTCCTTAGCCCATTATTACCCTAGATCCATGTATGACTGCATGAATGGTGTGCTCCTACTTCCTGTACAACCAGAGAAGTAAAAAATTGTGCTCCATTTGTGTACAATGAATCAAAGAGCATTCTGATGCCATGTATAATTGATTAGAACAAATAAAAAAATATTTAGGCCTGTCTGGGTAATAAGCCTGAGCAAGTAACCATTACATTGCCTCTATTTCCAATATTATTCTCTAAAGTACGCCTTTATCCCTGGAACTTTATCAGTTCTGGAGCTTCTTTCTTTGTTTTTCTTGCCCTACAAGGAAAGCGAGTTTAGTCCAATGGCTCAGTGACATGGCTCCTACAACTCTGCCATCGTCTTGCTGATGTTGCACCTTATTGCAGCTTTTACAAATCAGCAAGATGATACCTAAAACAACTGCCAAACTTCCTGCCAGGAGTGGTGGTGCATTCCTGTATCCCAGCAGCTCGGAAGCCTGCGGCAGGAGGATCGCAAGTTCAAAGCCAGCCTCAGCAATTTAGCGATGCCCTAAGCAACTCAGAGAGACCCGGTCTCTAAATAAAATACAAAAAGGGGCTGGGGAGGTGGCTCAGAGGTTTAATTTCCAGTATCAAGAACAAAATAACAACGAAACCCAAACCTCCAAACTTCCTTCTGTCATGGTCTTTTTAAATTATAAACCTTTATCCCCTCCTAGGCCCTCTCTCTTCCCCATCCCACTGCATTGTTGAATTATTCAAGGTTCAGATGTTGTCATCAACCATGTGTTGCTCTGGAGGACAATGGATCTTGTGTCATTTTCTTAGGGTCTTCTTGGTCCAGATGGATATGGACGTCCAGGAAGAAAAGGAACAAAGGTGAGGGTTAACTTACGGGTATCCTGACTTGAAAAATATAGCTTTCATAGCCCCCAGTTCCTGCTGATGGGCAGAATCACAGCCTCTGGGACAGGAGTCCCCTGTGTTTCTCTTTTGCTAGCAAAGCAACAAACCTTCCTTTTCCTTTTTCTCAATAGGTAGGTATGTAGTATATGTGTGTGTGTGTGTGTGTGTGTGTATAATTTTATTTTAGTAGACTAAGACAATTTTCTAAGTAGTGTGCCAGGAATGTTTTCTACATGCTGCTTACAATGTGCTGTAGCTGACAGAGTTCCTTCCTAAAAAGTAAAAGTAGATTTTGTCCCATTCTTATTTAAAAATCAAATTTCTTACCTCACCTGCCACCTTATAAACACTTCCTGCCTTGTAAAAACCCTTGTCTCTATTTAATATGCCCTTTTCCATCTCCCTCCCTTGGATGATTTTCACTCATTTTCTAAAACCAACTCAAATATCAAATTCTCCTGGTGGAAACCTTTTTAACTTCTCCAGACAGAATTTGTCATCCTATGCTCTGTGTTCCTAAAGCACATTGTGTGTATTTCTGCAGTAGCGCCTTTCCAGGTAGGTTATATTATAATTTCTCTGTATTTATGTCTACCCACCTAGTCTATGAACCAACAACATGATTGCCCCTTATTCATCTTTGCATTGCTGAAACGGAGCCTGGCACAGGGAAGGTGCTTAATAAATAAGTATTAATTAAAGAGTGCCACTACCATAAGAAGCTGGTATTTTCCACATAGTTCATGGGTCACTGATGGGTTTTGAAACATGGAGGTCACATGAAGCTTGTTGAACAACTCGTATTCTGAATGATTTAGTCTCCAAATTACTATCTCTATCACCATCATTTATTGCCTCACAAAGTAAGAAATCACTGGGATGTTTAGTGATGCTCAGCTACTTCATGATGTCAGGACTCTGGGCTGGCTTCTCTGCAGTTCTCACACTTCCTCTGTGGCTGCAAGATGACACTGCGGCCATGTTGAGGGAAAAAAAAAAAATGTCCAACACAGTAAGTTCTTAGTGAATATCCATGGAATGACAGAGATAGAAAGAGCCTTCGTGACCATCTAGTTCAGCCTCGTTGAGTTACAGTCAAGAAAACGGAGGCTCAGAGAAGTGAAGTAAGTTGCCTGTGGTCATATGGCTAGTCAGAGACAGAGCAAAGTGTAGAGGCTAGACTCCTGGAGCCCCATCTAGGCAAACTAAGTTTTTCTACTCTAGGGAAGTAGTTGCATGTGAAGAACATTCTGGGTAGTATGTGCTCAGCTCACAGCTAAGCACAAGGGCCCTCTATGTGTGTTGTTAACATGATGCAACACATAGATTCAGTCAACTTTTGTGTGAATTTTCCTTGGCAAGGTCTAGTGGTCTCACTTTAAATGGGCTTTATTGCTGCTTGGAAGTTCAGCTACCTTTTCCTAGTCTAATCACTATCCTCCTCATCGAGGTAACTATTTCATACCCTCTCCACTCTCCTCAAACCTCCAAGACTCTTTCTATTTTGCTTTCTCTTCTACACTTAAAGCACACGATCGAGCTTCCGACTTCATTAACAGAAGCAATGAGATGAGAACGTCTGCATATGTCCACCACCAAGTGGGCCTATCCACTTACATCTGGACCCAAATATCCTGCCTTCGTCTTCTGCTCTGGATGAACATTCATGTTTCTATCCAACATTAGTTCCTCATCTCTTAGACTGAACTCTACTCCTTTTGTTTACTCAGAGCTCTGTCCTCTGAATATGCCACTTTGATCTTTTGCATCGTCCAGTGTCAGTTATTTCCATTTGTGTACAAAAATACGAATATTTCTCATCTTAAGAAAAACAAGTTCCCCAAATTCCTTACTTGGATATACACTACTCCCATTGCCTCACTTATTTTTAGCAACACTCATTGAAGGAGTCATCTATATCTAGTTGAGAACAAGGGATGATATTATTCTCTAGGGGATGTTTGGAAATATCTGGAGATGTTCTGGTAGTCACAATGGGAGAGGGAAGGGGATGCTACTGGCATCTACTGTGTAGAGTCCAGAGGTGCTGATTTAACATTTGCATCACACAGAACAGCCCTCACAACAAAGGACTACCAGATCTAAAATATGCATAGTGCAAGGGTGAGAAGTTCCACTTTCTAACTGATGATAGTTGAGCCTGTACTCCCTGACTTGGTCTGCTTTAGACAGAGTGAACCTCATGTTACTAAATCCAGTGGTCTGCACTCTGCCCTGTCACATTCCATCTTTCAGCAGCTTTGACAAAGGTGACCATGGGCTTCTTCTTGACACCTTTCCTCACTTAGCTTCCAGTACATCCCACATTTTTTTTTTTTTCTACATGCTGTTTATCAACCCTTGTTGCTGGATCTTCAGAATGTTCTTGATTTTAAGTATTGGAAGACTCAGGGCTCTATTTTCATAATTATCTCCCCATCACTCACCCCTTGGGAGACTGTCCTCAGCAAAATCCACTTTCCTGGCCTCAAGTACCATCTCTCCCATGATCTCCAGTTTACGTCTCAAGTTTGGAGCATATCCTAACTTTGGAAATGCTTTGCTTTGGTCATCTAATAGGCATCTTAAAATTGGCATGTTCCCAAACAAGTTTCTTCTTTTTAAATTGATCTTTTATTCTTTTTATTATAGAAACATTTAAACATATATGAAGATATTAGTTTGACTTAGTTTAGTTACTAAGATTAGTAATGATCCCTCCTCATGTACTTATCACCTAGTTCAAACAATGAAAAACCCCTGGCCAATTTTGTTTTATTTATATTCCCACTTACTTATATCCCCTTCCTGCCAACTATTTTAAAGAAAACCCCAAACATCTCATAGTTCATATATAAATAATTCAGGTCGCATCTTTAAAAGGTTGTTTAAAAATATGAACATCAAAGAATTTGCAGTAATCTTTTAATATTATCAAATACCCCACTGGTCAAACTGATTCCCTTGATAACCTGCCCCTCACCTGAGTCTTCCTCATCTCAGGGTATGGAGTTTCTCCAAGTGCTCAGGATAAATGATGTTTCTTCCTCTCACCCCTTATATTTAATCCATCAATGAATAATGGTGAGTCTGTCTTCCAGATATATCCATCCAGCATTTGATAATTTCTCAGGACTACATTTCCTCTCTGAACCACGCCAACTGGTTTTCTACCTGGGTTATTGCAGTAGTCTCATTCCTGGTCTCTCTGCTTCAGCTCTTTCCTCAGAGCATTCTACAGGAAGCAGCCAGAGTGAGTCATTCTAAAAAACAAAGCCCTGCTGTGACTCCCCGGGTCACTCAGAATAAGTTACCTTGGCCTCCTGTGAATTCTTCAGCCTCATCTCCTCCTGCTGTCTTCCTGCCCTCCATTTGGCTTCAGTGTTCCTTAAACATGGCAGCACACTTTCATTCTCTTGCCTTGGGGTTTCTCCTGCCTGGAACACTCTTGTCCCAGATATCTGTTTGGCTTGTTTCCTCAATTCATGTTGGTCTTTGCCCAAATGCCACCTTTACAAATAAGCTTTGCCTGGTCACCTTATATAAAATAGCCCTCTATCCCACCCAAGAACACATATTCACATGCACAAATCTAATCAACTGCAGATAGAAGATGTTTGAAAAAAAATTGTGTCTGTACTGAGCATGTACCAGTTTTTTTATGTTATTGTTCCCTAAACAATACAGTATAGCATCTGTTTACATAGCATTTGCATTGCATTAGGTATTATAAGTAATCTATATATGACTTAAAGCCTATGGGAGGATATGCATAGGTTATGTGCAAATACTATCCTGAACCATTTTACCCAAGGGACTTGAACATCCACAGATGTTTTGTCTCTACAGGATGCTAGAACTAATCTTCCATGAATACTGAAGGATAATTATAATATTTTACCTCTTGATCCCTTTCCAGGAATAGCATTTCTCTTTCCCTGACACGCTATATGTTTGTTTGCTTGCTTCCTCATTGGCATTTAAATTCTATGGGGTCTTTGTTCTGTTCACCGCTGAGTTCCCAGGGCCTAGCGAAGTGCTTGGCACATGGTAGATGCTAAATAAATACTTGTTGAAAGAAAGGTTGCTTTGCAGCATGCCTTTGGTTCTGACAATGAATGCTTGCTTCCTAACATTCAATTTGGTGCTCCCCCCTTGGTTTCCATTGGGTCAAACGTAGGGTTATTTAAAAGGAGAGAGAAAAATGCTTAAGAAGGAAGTATCATTATACAGTATGCCAAGGAGAGGGAGAAAAATTTGTAAAAATCGTTTACAAGTTGTTTCATTTTGAATTAGAGAAATGGAGTAGGGCCCCTTGAGAGCAGCTCAAGATAATAACAATTTATGTAGTTGTTTTTCCTGGCACCGGTTTTGAATCTCTTTCCTCAAAATTACAATGTCTTCTTTAAGTGAGGAATGTAAAGGAAATACTTCATCACATGACATTAAAACATGACCTTATCTCATTTCCAACACTAGGGTGAACCTGGATTCCCTGGCTATCCTGGTGAACAAGTAAGAAGATGTCTTTCTGGCCTGGAAACTGGTAGGCAGCATGTGTCATTCGTTTGTATTTATTTTTCTTTACATTCACTGTTCTGCTTTTGATTTTATTAAGGGAGAAGATGGTGACCCTGGCCACCAAGGAGAGAAGGGAGCAAAGGGAATAAGAGGGAAGAGGGTAAGCCCTAAGAACCCTCTTCCACACTTCCATTGCATTAATGGGACTTCGTGGCAGGAAGCCCATTCCTTCTTAAAGCACTTTCCATCCTTTCTCTGATCTACCACACTCTCCACTTAATCCCCCTCATTTATCTTCTGAATGCAATGCAGTTTACCAAACCATAACAACAGAAAATAAAAGTTAGAGTTTTAGTTATACAAGATCAACCTTTTAAAAACATGCTGGGGCCCCTCTCTCTTTGGTAAGTCTGGATGAGTTTTAGCTGTAGAGCAATCATTGCTGTTTCTTTGGGATTCTTCCAAGCCTTAACTTTCTTTTAGCTATTTTATTTATTTATTTATTAATTATTTCTCAGGAATTCTATCTTGGTGAAATTTCAGTCAATTGTGCTTCATGGAGTCTCCCATTAAAAAATCTATTCCTTTTGGGGGAAAAAAATGGGAGTTCATAACCCACTTGAATCTAATGTATGAAATATGTATGAGCTTTGTAATGTTTTGAACAACCAATAAAAAAAAACCATAAAAAAATCTATTCCTTCAGGTTCTTAAGATTTAGTCTTGAAGAGCCACAATCACTGGCAACTCTTTTTTGAAAAGATTAATCCTGTGGATATTAACACAGTGGTAGTGTTTAGCTGATAGATATCAAAGCGCCAAGGCTAGCCAGGGAAAGGACAGAAAGTGCAGAAAAAGAGGAAGGAAAAGAGAATATATGTTTTCTTTTTTTGGTAATGGGGATTGAACCTAGGGGTTCCTTACCACCAAGCTGTATCCCCATCATCCCTTTTTATTATTTTTTTGAGATAGGATCTTGCTAAGTTGCTGGGGCTGGCATGGAACTTGCAATCCTTCTGCCTCAGCCTCCCAAGTAGTGGGATTATAAGTATGTGTCCCAACATCTGGCTGATAATTTGTATTTTCCATGTATTCAGTAATTGGAATCTTCACCCATTGGCAATGACTGAAAGAAAAATTTGATCTATGCTTAACTTGGCTTACTGCTGGCTATAGTTACCCTAATCAGCTAACTTATCTCTCTAGTTTCAAATAAAAAAGGGTGAAAGCATCAGTGAAATCCAAATAATGCTGTGTCATTTCAAATACCTGGAATACAAGCAGTGAGCCTATGAAAAATCATGTGCCTTTTCTGAGACACTGAGAACCTGATGGTGGTGTGGGAATTTTTCCTTTTCCTTGATGTCAGGACCTCAACATAGACTTCACGTATTCCTTTTTGCTATATGACCTTGAGACTCAACTCTTTGAAGGCTTGTCTGGAAGTGTGTGTGTATCACACATGGGCAAGTCTGGAGTTAGGTATGTAGGGCAGGAAGGCTGGATGGTTAATGAAAAGGTACCCCTTCTCTTTCTAGTCTCCATTTCTCTCCTCATGGATTTACAGTTCATAAACCAACTGGACAATGGCAGACTCATTGGCCTTATGTATAATGACAACTTGATATCTCAAAGCGGGTCTCTGTTAGTTGTAATCAGTGGGGAAGCTTATTCTTTGCTTTGGTCATTTTTAGGGTAATGCTGGCTTTCCTGGATTTATTGGAGCTCCAGGTGACCAAGGCCCACCAGGCAAAATGGTAACATGTGTCTGTTCCTTTCTTTTATTTTCAACCTTTGTATAAAAATGCATAAAGATTTGATAAAAGGTGTCTATAAAGAGGAAGTGAACATTTGAGACAAACAAAAGAATCTAGGGAATAAGCCAAATTTGCTTCAGAGAACATTAGCTTCAAATCATTACTCAGTGTGTGTACTTATTAAAAATATATATATATATACATATACACACACATACATATATATTTTTTCTTGAGCATGGGGAATATATTGGACTGACTAGAGATTTATGAATCTGCCTAAATACATAAGATAATGATTAAAACTCACTGGAGAGTGAGTTTATCAATGCAAACAAGATGAGCAACGATGTGTATCCAGAAACCAGAAGGAAATCCTAACAAAATAATAATTTTTATAATCCTAACTGAATTAATAGTGTTCTAAGCCTATAAATATCTTTTAAAATTCTGTAAAAAGTCATTTGGTTTGAAAGGAAAGACTTCAAAGCTATGATTCTGCCCCCTACCTCCTCCTAGGGCATGGAATGGCATCTAAAGTCAGCTGGGCATTAAACCTGGTGGTTTCACTGAGGTTTAGGGTTTACTGGAGAGGTGAGACAAAGCTAGAGAAGCAATAGTCATATAGATAGAGGACTATTCACATCATAGTACATTCAAGTGAAGAAACAGAGACTGAGAAGATTATGGTGATCTGCCCAAGGTTACAAATGGCTAATTTGTGCTGCATAAAAAACAAAGATCTCTAGACTCCCAGAGTGATTGGAGCCAGGCTGCAGCTACAATCTGCATAAATATTTGGCTCATCTTGTTTGCATTGATAGACTCACTCTCCAGGATTTCCCTAGCCCCAAACATGTACTAGGGAAAAGACAGGGTAGTGATGGGTGGATGGAGAGAAGGGATGGGGAAGGACTCGGATTTAATTTAGAACAGTGTATGAACAGACCTGGGATGTTGAATGAACTTTTCCTGAATTTGATCCTGAGCTACAGCTTGGTTGCAAAATGCTAAGAGTCTTTATGTGCCATCTGTGTGGACTTCCCATACTCTGAAGTCTGGGACATACTTCTTAGGCACTCTGGCCTGCTTTAAGGAGTCAGACAGAATCCTAGGGCTAGGAGTGAATGGCTATCTATGTATGGTGGTGAACTTTCATAGTAAAATATTTTTATATTTTAAAAATATAATAGCTGATATTTTGTCAGTTCTGGAGAAGAATGTGTTAGATATCAGAATTTTTGTTTTAAATCCAAGTGTCTGTTCTTTTCAGGGCATCAAGGGACCCAAAGGTTTGGTGAACATGATGGTAGGTGAAGATTTTTAATTATAAACTTTATTTTTTTCAGAACATAAAGATTTCCAGTTTCCCCAAATGGCAATCAATTAATCTTAAAGATTCTTTAGATTATTTTTTACAAATTCTGCTAGTAGTTTGTTTATAGACTTTGCAATGTTATAACTGAGTAAAAAAAAAAGAATAATATTTAAATTCAGCAAGGAGTCTAGATGTTTTTGAGTAGCATCAGTTGATGTGAAAGGAAGAACTCTGAGGCTACTACCTTTGTGCAGTATGCCTTTCTATGAAGCTCAAACATTGCTTACCAACTGTTTGTAGGTTAACACACAGTATGGTACAGGCTGTTGTGCCTCCTGGTACACCTCAACCAATCTCAAAAGTTATGATTTTTCATCTCCCAAGTACACAAAAACTATTAGGCAGGGAGTGGGGCTGTGGAGACAACTGAGGACAGGAAGTGATGGGATCTGGGGTTGAGGGTAGAACAGGGCAAAGAACAAGGGTTCAAAGGAAGAAGCAGAATTACTAGGAGAGATAGTGGGGTACTTATCTTGTCAGTCATTCTAGAGAAGTATCACAGGAATTGCTAATAGAGAGATCCAAGCACTGAAAGCATTTCTCTTCAATCTCCGCTGAGATTTCTGAATTTCAACTTCAAAATCAGGTTTGATTCCATTGTTTGTGATGTGGATTAAAAAAAAAAGTAGAATGGCTTATCTATCTATCTTGTTATATTGTATATGAAATCTTCTAAATGTTTTAAATTATCTACTGGATCCAGAAATAGAATTGTTGGATAGTTTCATTGGCTCTAATAATTTTTGAGTTTTCTGTTATAGATTAAAGAGCTTCAGGTATGCCCTGATAACATCCACATGACATTTCTAAGTCACAGGAGTGAAGAAAAATATGTTTTCAAATTAAATTCTTATTTCCTTTCCCTGTCTCTTTCCATCTTTCTAACAGCCTTGTGAAATTGTTGATCTCATTCGAGAAAACTGTCGTAAGTTATTTGGAAAACACTCAAAAGGAGCCAGTATGTGAAGTGGGACTAGGTCAAGGATTGGGGGCTAATGTCCCCTGAGGATTTGACTGAGGCTTCGAAGGTGGCTTTTCTATCATGAAAAGTTCTTACAAATTAACACGTTGGGTTCAGTCCCCCTTTGGGTAAATAATCTTTTCCAGTATGATCTCAGAAGTGAAGTGGTTTGAAAGACATACCAATTCAGCTATGAAGGAGCTATTGGCCGAAGAATTTATGGGGCAGCTATATAGTAGAATAGATGATATGGCTCTAAATGTAGTGATGAAAAAATCATCATGTACTAAGTGAAAGATGATTCAGCATGGAACATATACTAAGCTCCAAGTTTTAGGAAATAAAAAAGAATAATTATTTATACATTATCATTTATACACACATATATATTTACATGTATGGATGGATTAAGGATAATTTGAAAAATTTCCACAAGAATATATTACTTGTATATGTACCTTGGTATATAATATGTAGAGTTTATATTTTATGTATTACATATAAATTATATATACATGTGTATATATACATATATGTAGTTTCAGAATGGCTCAATGTATGAGATTTAATTTCACTTGAATGAGACTATTGTTATCCTCAGTAACACTAGATGAATATATTTCTCAAGTCAAAGCCCGGAAGTTGTCAGTGTGGGTTGCCTGTGGAGCAACATGGTATTGAGGGATACAGTCTCTGTATTCCTCCCCCCCCACCTCGCTCTCTCCTCTTTCTTTCTTAAACTGAAGATTGAACCCAGGGGTGCTCTAAACTGAGCACCCCATATACATCCCCAGCCCATTTTGTTTTTTATTTTGAGACAGGGTCTTGTTAAGTTGCCAGTTGAGGCTGGCATCCGACTTGCAATCCTCCTGCCTCAGTCTCTTGAATCTCTGGGATTACCAGTGTGCACCCCCATGCCTGACCCCTTATATTTTCTTATTCTGTTATTGTGTGTTTGTGTGTGTGTATGTGTGTGTGTGTGTGTGTGTGTGTGTGTATTTACACCTTATCTTCCAAACCACCTCATGGTCCAAGCAGTTTGTGAGGCTCTAGCCATCATACACACATTTCAACCAGTGGGGAAGGAAGGGAAAGGACCAGGATACTTGGTACCTATTAATTTTCTTACCCTGTTATGCAGAATTTAATAAGAGGGCTACCCCACTGGAAAATGTGGTCTTTGTTCCAGGCAGCCATATGCCAAGTCAGAAAGTGGAGTTCTGTTACCTTAGAGAAAAGGGAGAATAGATGCTGGGAAACTTACTCAGCAGGAGTCTAGAAGGTACTGCTTGAATTGCTGGGAGGGGAGGTTTTTCATATTGAAACACACGGAAAAGATGCCACTGTCTGTATAAACTAATAATCTTCTTGTCTCTCCAAAATTAATTGCCTTCCAGCTTGCTCAACAGGTAAATTATACTCTTTATTCGCTTAAATCCTCACCTGTTTGGAGGTGTTACACAGTATCTTAAATCTGTGTCTCCCTTGTGTCAAGGTGTTCATAAATGCCCGGTGTTCCCGACTGAAGTGGCCTTTGCCTTGGACATGTCAAATGGTACCTCCCAGCTGGATTTTGAGAGGATGAGAGACATTTTATTATCTTTGTTGATGAAGCTGGAAATAAGTGAGAGTCACTGCCCAACGGGTGCCCGAGTGGCCATTGTTTCCTACAATGTCAGAACAGATTATCTGGTTCGATTCTCAGACTACAAGGGGAAGCCTGCCCTTCTGCAGGCTGTTAGGAAAATCCCTCTGGTACAGTCATCTGGCCACAGGAACCTTGGGGCTGCCATGAGGTTTGTGGCAAGACATGTATTCAAACGTGTGCGCCCTGGCATCCTGGTGAGGAAGGTGGCTGTGTTCTTCCAGGCGGGCAGGGCCTATGACACAGTTGCTGTCAGCACAGCCATGCTGGAGCTCAGTGCAGTGGACGTCACACCTGTGATCATCACCTTCACAGAGGAGCACAACCTTCCAGATGCTCTACTGGTAAGTGGGTGGGGGATTGATGATGGGTAGGGTTCACGGAGTTGGCACCTGGTTCTTACCCCTCCACCAAGGATCACTTGAGGAATGAGAGTTGTTCAGGGGAAGAATTTCCAAGAGATTGCTGTGGAGGCAAGGAGTGAGGGGTCTCAGTATGGACCTTATTGCTAGGGCTACTCCTAGCACTAACTGGCAGTTCCTCAGCACCTGTTCTGTCTCATAGATATTATCTTCCTCAGTGATCCCCAAAGCTCTAGAGGGTGGGTGTTATTATTTATCTCCATGTTGGAGATAATAAATCTGAGGCTTAGAGAGGTTCAGTATATCATCGATGGTCAGATATCTAGCTAGTGGAAGGACCGATATTATCTACTTTCAGAGGTGTTCTTAACCACTATGCTAAACTGTATCATTGGGGTCACAGATTGTAACTTTCTTCCTTTTTTTTTTTCTTAAACTGGTGTTTTAGTCAGTTTTTTGCTGCTGGGACCAAAAGACCTGACAAGAACAACATAGAGAAGGAAAAGTTTATTTTGGGGCTCATGGTTTCAGAGGTCTCAGTCTGTAGATGGCCGACTCCATTCCTTGGGGCTTGAGGTGTGGCAGAACATCATAATGGAAGGAAAACAGTTCAGGACATTACCAGGAAGGAGAGAGAGAGAGAGAGAGAGAGAGAGAGAGAGAGAGAGAATATGATCACCTTTCCAAATATATATCCCAAAGGCACACCCTCTGATGACCCACCTCCTCCAGCCATATATTACCAGCCTACAGTCACCACTCCATTAATCCATATCAGTGGATTAACACACTGATTAGGTTAAGGCTCTTATAATCCAATAATTTCACCTCTAAACCTTCTTTGATTATCTCACATATGAGCTTTTGGGGGACACCTCCCATGTAAAGCATAACAACTAGGATATAACATATGTATTTTATTTAAAAAGTAGAAAAGGTGCAGCGATTTTATGCACACACACAGAGATGGATTTTTATATGTTTATTCTCCTGTTACCAAGATGTGGTTTCAGATAGAGGACACTCACACACTCCAGGGTAACTACTCTTCTGATTTCTATCACAGTCAGATAGTTGTTTTTTAACATGTTCTAGACCTACATATAAATTGAAATGCGCAGCACATACTCTTTTGTGCCTGACTTCTTCCAGTAAACATAATGTCTGTTTTCCTTGTTCATCCATGCTGTGTATATGGGGTAATTTGTTTTTTGTTATTCCTGTGCAGTATTTCTACATATGTATGTTCCACAACTTACTCATTTATCTAGTCTTTAAAATTCACCTTTTCTAACGTGAATTCCCCAGAGATTGCTGTGTATGCAGGGAGGAGGGGGTCTTAGTAGGGACCCTATTGCCGTATATTCTTCTGGAATATCTGGGATGATTAATCAAAATGAAGGGTGTTTTTCTTCTTAAGAGATTTCAGGCTGCTTTAAACCAGGTGACATTGCCAATATTTGACCATTTTCAACCTGAGAAAATGGAAATGTCATATGGTTCAACTTAAGAGCTAATGAATTCAGCTGTGCCAGACCATTTAATTTTCTCTTAAGATGGAGTGTGTGCAGCACAAGTGATAGGTGAGAGATTTTGTTGACACAGCTGTGAATATGCTTCTAAGAATCAATAGATAAACTTGTGACAGCTTGCAAACTGCCAGGAAGGATGGATGAAATATCTTGGGTTGAGAAACAAAGTTAAAATCAGAGTGAGTTTCTTGTTCACTGTTATAGCCCTCTTGTTATAGTCTTTCCCCTGATTTCCTTTCTCTACTCAGTTGGTCTTCTATTTCTTTATTTTTAAAAATTGGTTATATATAATATTGGAAGGCATTGTGATATAGTCACAGTTCTCCTTTTTTCTATGTTCTGCATATGAGAGAAAACAATCAACCTTTGACTTTCTGAGTCTAGCTTATTTCCCTTAGCACGATGTTCTCCAGTTCTACCCATTTGCCAATAAATGACATAATTTCATTCTTCTTTGTGGATGAATAGAACTCCATTGTGTGTGTATACACCGTATTTTCTTTATCCATTCATCTGCTGATGGGCACTTAGACTGGTTCCATAACTTGACTATTGTGGATGGTGCTGCTATAAACATTGGTGTGCACTTGTCCCTAGAGTAGGCTGATTTTAGTTCTTTCGGATAAATATCCAGGCTTTTCTTGGTTTATTTAATCCTCACAACAATCCAATGAGATAAGTGGTATTATGAGCCTATTTTTCAGAGAACAAAACAGGGACACAGAGCAGTTAAATAGTTGTTCAAAGTCTGGAATTTCCTTTAGCAATGAGATTTTGAATTCAAAATTCAAAAATAGGAGAAAAAAGAGACTTTAGATGTTCTAAGTTCTTTTTCCATGTTAATGCATGTTATCTTTACAATAACACTATAAGCTATGAACTGGCCCTATTATTATTCCTGTGTATTTCTCTTAACAAATCCAAGGAGTGGGATGCTGGCTATCATAGGAGACTTAAAAAAAAGCTTTAAAGTTTGAAAATGAAAGCTAAAAGATGAAAACATTAAAAGGAAGGCCAAAGAAAAATTTTGGTTTAATATTTAAAATTTTGGTATAAATTTCAGAATTTAGAAAAGTTGATACTACCTATGGCTGCTACATTCTCCATTAGATTCTTAATACCCTAAAGCCTGGTTCAGTGACATGGGGAAGGAAATAGGCAATGAGACTTCAGACCCTACCTTTTTCCCTTATGTAATCTGAGCATGTTATTTGGCCCCAGAACCTCAATTTATTCGCCTGTAAAATAGGCATAAACTCATAGATTTGTTGTAAGGATTATGAGAGTTATTGCTATAGGGGCACCTGACACTTCCTGTGTGTATGCTCAACGTAGGTCATTATATTACCATGTTGAGGTCCTTAAGAGTGCCCTTTGCTCAGGATTTATTAAATCAAATAGCTTCCATTTGACGAGCACCTTTGAATTTCCAGCTACAGTGCTGCTTGCTTCTTGATTTCCATGCCTTGTCGTCTGAGCCCCTCACTACTCAAACTGTGGTCTGTGGACCAGTAACAGAAGCATCACCCATGTGAGAAATGTTAAATTTTAAGCTTTGCCTATAATCTAATCAATCACAATCTGCATTTATATCAAGATCCTGGAGGGTTTGCATGAATATTAAGATTTGAGGACTGTTGTTGGTCTAACACACTTATAATTGTCCTGCAAGTTAATAATGATAATTTGCATTTCCCAGATGAGGTAAGTGAAGGTCAGGGGGCAAGTGACTTGTTCTAAGCTATGCAGTTCTGGAATTTGCATTCTGCTATGGCTTATTCCTAAGCCCCACTTTTCCACCCAACACCCTCAACCCAATGCTGACCCTAATGCTTGCAGGGGAGTCCAGGAAGAGTTGGCTTCTTCGTGGTAGGCTTTGGTGGCACCATGCCAACTGGCAGGAGCCAAAACTGTTGTACTCATTCTCCTTGGGTCAGGCACAGGTTATGTGGCTATGTTCTTTTCTCTCTGTGTCTGTTTCTTTCTCCTTACTTTTTCCAGGGTTCTCTCCTTGTTTTCCAAGCCCTTACTTCAATTTCATGTTAGACAGTTCTAACTCCTTAGGGTCTGGCTAGTTTATCCTCTGTCCAAGGCAAATACTCCTCCCTAGCATTTTCTTCTTCCCTTTTATTTCCATCTTTCCAAGCCAAGACCTTCGCCCAACTCAGTCCCAGGAATGGTCTCTGGCAGCTTAGTATAGCAGCTGAAGCATCGAGCTAATAAGCCCTGGGTCTCTCTAGGTCAGGGCTCATAGGGAGTCCTTTAATCTTGGGGGTTGAGGTTGGAGGATTGTCCTTGTATCCTTTGAGAAAATGGCTGTCTATTAAACAAAGTGTTTGTTAATGCAAACCCCTGTGCCCTATCCTCATCGCTCAAGATACTCCCATCTTTAGTATAACAACTGGTCCCAACTAGCCACAGTCAGACATTTAGGAATGAACTTGGTTGTGGGAATTACCATGGTGCTGGTTAAATGATAGTAAAGCTTTGAGCTTCAAGCAGATCTCTTGGATTGTGTTTTAGGTACTCTATTTTCGAGATTTCCTTCTCTGATGCTGATGCGAGTTTGAAGTAGGAATCACAGGGCCAGTTTTCTCCTCTCCTCATACTGGAATTCCTTCCCACACTATTTCTTTGCTTGAGCTTTCTCAGGAAGTATCTTGTCTCAATTATCAGTGACAGACTGTGTTGGCAAGTCCAAAGTCTGAGTAATTATATGGTTATAAGTGACAACTTGGTACAGATGCATCTATTACTGAATCAGTTTCCTTGTGGATTTCCATTGGGTTTTTGTGTAGTCATGCCCACAATTCTTTTGCAAGAACAGTTCAAAATGTTAATCATGATTACAAAATTAATGTTCCTAAGAAAAGTTAAAAATGAAAGTTCTTCCAGGTGTGGTGGTCCATGCCTGTAATCCCAGAGGCTTAGGAGGCTGAGGCAAGGCAGGAGGAGGATCATGAGTTCAAAGCCAGCCTCGGCAACTTAGTGAGGCACAAGCAACTTAGCAAGACCCTGTTTCAAAATAAAAAATAAAAAGAGCTAGGGATGTGGCTCAGTTAAGCACCCCTGGGTTCGATCCCCAGTTCTGAAAAAAATAAAGTTCTCTATCTATCTATTCAAATTCAGTTTAATTTAGCAGTTTTCCAGCAAGCAGAGCAACAGAAAGGTTATGTGCTCTGAGTTGCTCAGAATAGAAAAGATGCTCTGTCCTGAAGAAGAGGCCAATACAGAATCAGTAACTGAGGACCAGCTTGTGTTGGGGCAGGAAGAGAACTCAGTGGCATTGACTCCTACCCTAAAACTCTGTCACGAGAAAACTGAAGCCAGAAGCTTCTCCAAGGTCAAATATGGCACATAAGGATTAGGACTCAAATTCCTGATATCTAATCCATTAGTGCTGCCAATAACTTCTCCCATGAATTTCCTCAAAGAAAGAGAAGTATGAATTTGTACAGACTAGGAAGGCATGTTTGAATTTGCTTGCAGTCTCATACTACTTTAAAGTTCATCCACATTCTGCATTTTATAAACTACTTTGCCCATGTTTCCTGTGATTTTAAAATAATATATCTTTTAAAATTATGTATTTTAATTAGTTATACATGACAGCAGAATGCATTTTGACTCATTGTACACAAACAGAGCACAACTTTTCATTTCTCTGGTTGTACACAATGCAGAGTCACACCATTTGTGCAATCATACATGTACATAGGGTAATAATGTCTGTCTCATTCCACCATCTTTCCCACCCCCATGACCCCTTTCCTCCCCTCACTCCCTTCTGCCCAAAGTTCCTTCATTCTTCCCTTGCCCTCCCCTGCCATTATGGATCAGCATACACATATCAGAGAAAACATTTGGCCTTTGATTTTTTGGGATTGGCTTATTTCACTTTGCGTGATATTCTCCAACTCTATCCATTCATCTGCAAATGCCATAATTTCATTCTTCTTTAAGGCTGAGTAATATTCCACTGTGTATATATACCACAGTTTCTTTATCCATTCATCTGTTGACGAGCATCTAGGTTGTTCCACAGTTTAGCAGTTGTGAGTTGAGCTCTATAAACATTGATGTGGCTACGTCACTGTAGTATGCTGATTTTAAGACCTTTGGGTATAGACCAAAGAGAAGAATAGCTGCGTCAAATGGTGGTTCCATCCCAAGTTTTCTAAGGAATCTCCATACTGCTTTCCAGAGTGGTTGCAGTCCTACAAGCAATGTATCTTTTCACCCACATCCTCACCAACACTTATTGTTGCTTGTATTCTTTTTTTAAAATATTTTTTTAGTTGTAGGTGGACACAATGCCTTTATTTTTATTTATTTTTATGTGGTGCTGAGGATTGAACCTAGTTGCTCACTCACGATAGACAAGCACTCTACCACTGAGCCACAACCCCAGCCCCTGTTGCTTGTATGCCTGACATTTGCCATTCTGACTGGTGTGAGATGAAATCTTAGTTTGGATTTGCATTTCTCTAATTGCTAGAGATGTTGAACATTTTTTCATATATTTGTTGATCTGTTGTATTTCTTCTTCTGTGAAGTGTCTGCTCAGTTCCTTAGCTCGTTTATTGATTGGGTTATTTATTTATTTTTTTTTGGTGTGAATTCAGCATTTTTCCACAACTTCTGGGAAAAAATTGAAGCTCCTAGGGTGATCTGAGCCTCCTCATTTCTCCTGGTGCATTGCCATAGATCCTGGTTTCAGAAACCTTCCAAATTGCTTCCTGTGATTTCCAGTAAAGCTAGCAAATGTCATAACTCTGTGGACAATGTTTAGTCCTTGGGTAATTAATCAAGTCTATTTGTTTTAGTCCATACTTAGATCTGATGATCATGTGGAATAGGTCTGATTATTGAATGTTGGCACCTGTGCACTCCCTCTTTCTGCCAGCTTCCTCCTTGTATCCATGACTTGCAGGTTTCAAATGTGCTCTGCAGATGCACATTGGAAGAGGATGTTCTGAAATATGTGAGAAGTGGAGGCATTAAGCAGAACTGGAGAGATAACCAGTGTCCCCTTCTGGGTCTTTGTACATGCTATTCCTTCACACTGGAATGCTTTCTCCTGCTTCTTTTTCAGCTCAGTACCCTACTCATGCTCTCAAAAGTCCCAGATGCCATTATCCTCATAAAAAGTAATAGGGTCTCCTCTAGCCCTGGCCTTAAAATGAATTTCTTCTTTCCGTTTTCTTAAAACATATTCTTAGAACTTTTTTCTTCTTGAAAGTCCTTTGTGTGCCTTTCCCTTAGGGTTCAAGCCCTTCGAATGTGTGGTCACGTCACTTTCGTATCTCTTTGCAGCTTGTTAGGACTTTTATGTCCTAGCTGTTTGGTTGATTTCAATGTCTAAGTCGGGGAAAAAGCAGAATTTAAGTTTACTTTTGCCTTTTTTCTTGGGGAACTAGCAATGATCCCATGGATTTTGGTGTTCCATTAGATAAATACATGTTCAGCTCTTCTTATTTCTTTCCTTACTAGGACATTTCCTTCAAGTAAGCTCACTCTGAAAGACAATGTTTGGGATATGCTGCAGCCATGAACAGAGAGTGAAGCACTCTGTAATGAGTATATATTGCAGAATATTCTTTTCTAAAGTAACTCTTGACTGTTAATTTCTTTGAGGCCTAGCGCAACATCTTCAACTCCTCAGCACCTTGCTACCCAGAGAAGGGCCCAGAATCTGCTTGTTCTTGACCAAGGATGAAGGAGGAGGAGGAGCAAACCCTCAGTGGGGCGCCATCCTATGTGCTTTGATAGGGAGTAGATTAAAAGATGGACGCGGCTAAGTGTAGACGGTTACCTCTTTGCAGTCCACACCTCAGGTCCTAACAGAAAGAATCTGAAAGCATTTCTAATTTTGTCATGAGGTGAAAGTCTTACATTAGTCCCCTAGTCTTAGCATCATAAAAGATTTTTTTTGTGTGTGTGGTGATGGGAATTGAACCCAGGGCCTTGTGCATGCAAGGCAAGCATTCTACCAACTGAGCTAAATCCCCAGCCCAAGATTTTTTCTGCCATCTTTACAAGCAGATGTGACCCTTATGAATGAATGAATGGGTGGGTGTCATGGCAGAGAGCTGTTTTGCTGCTTGTAGCTGTCTAAGGATCTGAGATCTTTCAATCAGTGGTCTCATTATAGCCTAGGGCCTCAAAATCTTTTTATGGATCCTCTGTCTGCCTGGCAGATGAGGGTACAGGGAGCAATGGACTATAGTGCATCGCAAATAACATACATCACTTCCAGCTACATTCCATTGGCTAGACTGCAGCCATGTAACAGTGATTTGCAAAGGAGGCTAGGAAATGTAGTCTGGTTGTGGCCCAAGGAAGAAAAAAGAATTGTTATCCCATGGACCTTGTTGAGTTTATTATTGTTATTATTATATTTTGTTTTTAAGTCTTATTATTGGTTATTAAATTAATCATAACTGGAAAGGCAAAGTAAAAGAGAAAAACAAATTTGCCATCTCTACAAAGCCTTCCTTGATTTCTTCTAACTCTGAACACCAGGAATACTCTATCTCTGAAGACCAAGAATATTCTAGAGGGGTCTCTCTCACAGTATCAACCTCTTTCTATTCTAATGGTATATGACTACCTCTCTTTTCAATAGCTCCTACCACACTGCATCCTACATACTGTGAACAGTTAACAAAGATTGATGGAATTTTTAAATGATTGAACCCTCATGTTCTGACACGACATGACATTGGGCTGAGCTTTATGCATACGGGCAGTCTGAAGACTCATAGTTCATATATACTTACACTGATAGTCAAATCTCCAGGTTAGAATTAGGGTATTATTTTAGTACCTAACTAACTATAATATATAAACATTATATTTTAACATGTAATATTAAATATTAGTATTATGGTATATAACATTAAATATTAAACACTATAAGTAGCTATAATCTATAATGCCCAATTATGTGTATATATATTTATATGACTATATATTCTTTTAAAATGTCATTTGAATGGTGGAAAACGCCATGAAGAACATAGTCTAAAATTTAATCCAGCTAATCATAAACATGTATATGTGTGTTTGGATTAGATGGATGGAGCCAGCAGATTTCATTTGTTTGTGTGGGAGACTGAGCACCAGCAGGATGTGGAGCACATGGCCCACTGTACTCTCTGCTATGGTAAGCCAGGGCAGCCTTCTGATCCAACTGATGTATTTAGAACAGAGGGAATTAACTGGTGGCCACAGGCCAGATCTGCTGTGCAGATGTGTATTTACTCAGCATTCTCAGCGTCCTGAAATCTGGGAATTTCTTCTGATGTTTGGATTTCCAGTTTTTCTTAGGAAGTCAGAATTGTCTTAAGAGGCACAAACACTGCATTCCTGTGTGGTCACAGGCATCAGGGCTGAGTTGTGCTTGACCCCTTTTGATGGCCAGTCATTAATTCTCTCTTGCTTCCCAGCCTCTGTCACTGCATCTCACACCCTCGCGTGTGCTAGAGAGAATGTTTTGTTGAAACCCATGTATGTCTTCAAGTACAGAGCTCCAATCCTATCCACTGTGCCCAGGGGCAGAGTAGGTGATTTCATTGCTCCTTCTACCTGATCCACGGGAAGACCTAGCACTGCCATGAGAGATTTGGCTCTGATAAGTTGGTTAACTTAAATGCAGTAACTGCCATTTGTAGAGTATGGCACAGTTAATGAAATGCTCTTACATCCATCATTTCATTGACAAATCACCTCTCTGGGTTTCAGTTGCCTCTCTTGTAGAAACATCAACCTAGATGGGATTGATTGAGCTCTTACTATGGCTTGTTCTGAGCACATACATATATATCGACTCAATTTTTCACTTGAACCTCACAAACAGCCTCATAAAATAGGCAATATTATCATCATTATTTCTATTTGACAGATAAGAAAACAGGCTTCTGGGGAAACTAAGTAATTTGTCCAAGGTCACATGCGGGGTTAGACCGAGATTGAACCAGACAGTCTGGTTCATTTTTAGAATCTGCATATAAGTGAGATCTTGTGGTATTTGTTTCTGTGTCTGGCTTATTTCACTTAGAGTAATGTCCTCTAAAATCATCCATGTTGTCACAAATAACAGAATTTCCGTTTTTTATGGATGAATAATATTCTATTAAAATATTACATTTTAAGTATATTTTTAATGTGTTTATTTATTAGGTGGCAAGACCTAGCAGAAGTTCTAATAACTATTATTTCAAGGTAGTGATGAGTTTATATAATATTGAACTTTTCCAACATATGGTGTGGGAATATCAGTGGTTTCTATTGGTGTCCAAATTCCTAGTATTATAGCACTATGCTACCTTCATGAGGAATGAAAGGGAATGCTAAATTTCGTTTCAATAGAGGTAGTCAAATACAGATGTGATTTTTCCCCATCCTGGTTTACAGACCCCTTGGGAGACTGTAGCCCCCAGGTTAAGAATGCCTGCTGCACACTAGATATAAATGAAAGAGTTTACCCCATCAGTGGGTCTCTAACAACATTGTTCATCAGAGTACCCAAGGTAATATCAGTTACATATTCTGAGCCTCATCCCAGCCCTACCAAACCAGAATCTTGGTGGGGATAGAATCTCAGAATCTATATTAAAAAACAAAAAAATTCTATGTACTATTATGATGCTGAACCAGCTTGAGAACTATGATCATGTCATTTAAAATTGCCTATATTTGATTTTTTTTAACATGTAAAAATGGCAATCTCATAGAGCTGTTCAGGCTACTTTCAGCTCTAGTAATCAGTGTTTTGCAGGTAGTTTCTCAAACATCATTACTGCTGATTAAGTCAATAAATAATTCACCTATAATTCTTTCTTATATAGGGGAAAAGGGGAATGATATCTGTGAGCCCAGAGATTAAGAAGCAAGAGGGCCTACTGGTTGAACACACTAAATATGCAACCAGCCCCCATTCTTTCTTCTGAATAATGGGTCATACGGTTGCCATGTCAGTCCAATGTGTGGCTAATAGCTCAGCAGCAGATGTCCTTGTTAAGGATACAACAAGGTATGCATCGGAAAAGAAAAGGATGCATGGTTTAACCTCAGCCTTTCCCTGCACTTCCTTCCCAGACAAGTGCCAGCCAGACCCAGAATGTGGGCCAGGAGGGCCTGGGCCCCAGGCAGTGGACATGGACTTGGTGTTCGTGGTGGACAGCTCCCAAGACGTGGAAATTGACATATACCGTGGGGCTTTGCATCTCGTGGACGCTGTGCTTGAAGATCTGGAGGTGGCTGCTCAGCCGAGCATGTCCCTTCAGGGGGCGCGTGTGGCTCTAGTGACACACACCACTCCAGGCTTCAGGCCTGGCATGGGTCGATCCCCTGTGCTTGAGGGCTTCAACCTGACCTCCTATGGCCACCGGACACAGATGCAGAGACAGGTCCGGGAGGCCGCGGGCCGCTTGCTGCAGGGACTCCCTGCCTTGGGCCACACTCTAGAATGGACGCTGGAGAAAGTGCTCCTGGTGGCCCCACTGCCGCGGAGGGCGCGTGTCCTCTTCACCATCGTGGCCAGCGAGACAAGCAGCTGGGACAGGGAGAAGCTAAGGACTTTGTCCCAAGAAGCCAAGTGCATGGGCATCACCCTGTTTGTGTTGGCCTTGGGCCCTGGTGTGGGGACTCATGAGCTGGTGGAGCTGTCCCATGTGGCCAGCGTCCCCTCTGAGCAGCACCTGCTGCGCTTGGAGGGAGTTTCAGAACCAGAGGTAGCCTACGCCAGGGGATTCACATGGGCCTTCCTGAACCTCCTAAAAAGTGAGCATTCCCTGCATCCTGGATATATTGGGTGAGTGGGGGAGAGGTACTTACATAGCCTGGCATTTGGGCAGGTAGATGCCCTATGGCACCTTCCTGACTGTTGGGTTATGTGCAGCCCAGCAGTCCTGGTCATATTTCCAGGTGTTTTTTGTTCTTGGTCTTCCAGTGCATGATTCAAAACAACTCATGTGCAGGTGCTTCATTGTAAAATGTGAGGACTTCTTGCCCCACTTCCTGGGAGACGTGAGTTTCTCAGTTTATAAGCAAGTGTGACGTCTCACTGGGGGCTGTAAGGGACATCAGCTCCTTCATCACTAAAAGAATAAAGGGAGTTTGATGGACATCTTAGAAGTACAGATATGGCATTTGTGCCTCTCCAATTTAAGAGGTGCAAAAAAAAAAAAATCAATGAATTAGTTCTAGTCCTAGCTCTGCTATTAGTTGAGTTCTGTGATCCTAGAAAAGTCAATGAACCACTCTGCTGTTTGCACCTTAGATTCCTTATCTTTGCAGGGAGTGGTGGAGAGAATGTTAATAGTTGGCTTATGGTTTAGTGATTCTTTGAGGGAGAAGCAGGCTGAAAGAATCATTTTTCTCATCTTGTTTTAATTTCATTTTATCTTATTTTTTATGTTTTATTATATTAGATTGTATTCTTTTATGTTGTGATCTTATATTATTTATGAGATTGGAGGCATTCCATGCTTTTATTTTGTTTGCTATGTATTTTATTTTTATTGTTTTATTTCTGTTTACTTTTATACTTGTCTCATGCTTCATTTGAATCCCTCTTACATCTTTTTGACTTTATGTCTTCATGGATTTTATTTTGTTCTAAATGTTCTATTTGCTTTTGTTTTTTATACCTATTTTATTTTGTTCCACTTTATATTTTACTTTATTTTATGCTTCATTTGATTTTATCTTTGGAATTTTGTGTTTTGATAGAGAATTTTTTATATTTATTTTCTTTTTTAAGTTTATATAATTCTATGTTTTATTTTTTAAATTTTACTTTCAGGTGGAACAAACCAGTATCCACCCCCAGAGCTCACTGAAGAATGCAGGGGCCCAAACCGTGGGGACACTCTGCTGTAAGCAGTCAGGCCTGTCAAGAGGTAGGTCAATGCTGGGCAAGGTGACGCATGCCTATCATCCCAGTGGTTTGGGAGGTTGAGGCAGAAAGATCATGGCTTCAAACCAGTGTTGGCAACATAGAGAAACCCTAAGCAACTTAATGAGACCCTATCTCAAAATAAAATATAAAAAGGGCTGGAGCTGTGGCTCAATGGTTAAGCGCCCCTGAGTTCAATTCCTGGTACCAAAAAAAAAAAAAAAAAGAGATAGGTAAGGCCAAGCTATGGTTGTCCCCTACATCTTCCTCAGACAGGAGACGGTCTCCCTAGAGAAAGGTCATAGGCATTACCAGTCAGTCCTTGATTTGACCCAAACCACTGACATTGGGATGCTCCTGGGCTTGACAGCCCTGATACAGTTTAGTTTTTCTTTTCTGATGTTCAGTCTTTCAGTCAGAAGACTGATTGAGGACCAACATAAAAAAAATTCAAAGAGCACATGAATGTTTGGAAGCAAAAAAAAAAAAAAAATTTCTGTTCCACCATATCATCGCATCATCTAATTCCATGTCTCAGAGGTGAAATTAAAAATGCTAGACCCATCATTTTGATGCTTGTCCAAACATGTCTACAAACCTAAGAAAACAGTGAATACAATAATGAAATTGCTCAGGAAATGCCCAAACCTAAAGTTTGTTGAGTGTAGCCACATCATTTGCTATACAAGAACCTCTCAGTTCTTGTGGCTGGTTGTGCAATTTGACAAGGATTGTTTCTGTACAGGGGGTCCAAGCGCCACTTTGGCATGTCTGGTTTTGCTTATGATTTAGAAGCACTTGAAGCAACAGACTTTTTTTTTTCCTAGAAGAAAAGAGAAAAGGCATGATCTCATCTATAACTCAGCTAGAAGCTCTTGAAAATTGTGAAAATAACAAATTTAACACTGAAGAAAATGAACAGGAAACACCAGCACAACCAGAAATTAGAAAAGAAATAAATTCAGGCACTGCCTACAGTAAAAAACAAGCTACCTTCTTGCTCCCTGAATTGGCTTCACTTTTTTCAATCTTTATTTCTTAAAACATCCCTGTGTATTATGTTAGCATGCAAGTGTTGACTTTTTATAACATCTTCCGTACAAATGCAAAAATTCATGTATGCAGGCTAAAGGGATTACTTTAAGTAAACAGAAAAAGGCCAAATTTCACTGAGCTGTAGAACTGGAGTTGAAAGAAAGCCATTTCAGCGCATGTTATGGAGGCACACCCACCAAGTGTTTGCCCTGCGTGGCAGAGATGCAAATATCTATTGCAGAAGTGAGAAGTGAAGAATAACTACTGCTTATAGACAGGCTGCTTTGTAAGTGACCAGATGTCTCATGTGTTCTGACCAAGCTTAAGGAACATTTTGGATCCATCTAAAACAGATGTAGCATCAGTTTTGAATTGCAGTCTATAGTTATGCAGATAACAAGTTCTTTCTTATATGTGATCAACAAGATACTGGGGAACTTGACTGTGATGTTTTTTCTAAGACAGCTGAAAGAGTTTATTAGTGAGTGGTGTGGTTGGTCCTGCTTATATAAAGTAAATATACTTTCCTTAGAGGTTTTGAATGTGCCCACATGATTCCCCATCTGAGGGCTTTTGGCTGGGTGGCTATGGGAACTATTTAATTTCACTGTGGCTCAGTTTTCTGTTCTGTAAAGCAGGAATTATAGGAGTATCTATGTCCTAGAGTTGTTTTGAGAGTAAAACTTGATAATCTGTGTTTGCCAGATAGTAAGTATACAAGTTAGCTATTAAGATGCCCATGAAATATACTATTGCTTAGAATCTAAAGCAGCTGGGTGCAGTGGCGCATGCCTGTAATCCTAATGACTCAGGAGACTGAGGTGGAGGACTGCAAGTTCAAGACCAGCCTTAGCAACTTAGCGAGGTCCTAAGCAACTTAACAAACCTTGTCTCAAAATAAAAATATAGGACTGGAAATGTGGCTTAGTAATTAAGCACCTCTCCGTCAATCCCAGATACCAAAACAAAGCAAATAGCAAATACACATCCAAAGGAAATAACAAAACCATAGGCCCTCTTGGAAGGTACAGTAACATTCCCTTCCTTAGGCTAAAAATTAAGCATAGGGCAACTTGTTGATTATCATGTTTTCAGTACAGAATATCCTCAGTTGATTTTATAACAGCAGTGCTTTTCAGCCTTGACTATACAGTAGAATTGTTGTGGGGCAGGTCGCTCAGAAAACACACCAAGTCCCAGTTAGTCTTTGTTTAGCTGGCCAGCTGGCAACTGCTTCCCACAGGACCCATACTGTTTCTGCAAGGAACAGCCCCAAGCCTGAGCATTTTATGGTTTTTAAAGGCAAAAACTACATTTGGGTTTGACGTAGCTGTAAGCAACCAGGTACAGAAGCTGAATTGGGCAGTTAGCGAGACAATGCAATGGGTTCATTGGTATTTCCCACAGGACTTTCCAGATTGGCATAGCAGCAAGCAAGCAGAAGGGAAGTGGGTCAAAATGACCCTAGTTGAGTACAAGTTAGAGAATGGTTACTAATGTCTAGACAATCTCTGACAAGGTACATTGCCCAAGAAAAATGGAAAGGAAAGAGAACAATTTTACATTGTGTAAGAATTGCTATTTTGTGTTGCCAAGTATGTTATGCTAGGTAACTATTAATGGGTACAGAGGTGGGGCTTATGGAGTCTCAGGGTAAAATGGAGTCTGTTTGGTCATTGTCCATGTAGCCTGGCCCATAACAGAATCACCTGGGAATCTTCAAAAATTCACCCCAACCAATCCAATCAGAGTCTTTGGTGGATATGTGGTACTTAACAGTGATTCCACTGAGCAATTAAGACTGAGAACCACTGTTCTAAGGAACTCTTTACCACAAAATCAAGGTCAAAGAGATGGAGGAGAGGTGAATGACCATTGGATCCAGTCCCATTCACAGCTTTGAAGGTCCCCAGTACATCTCAGCCACTGCCTTACTGGGCTCTGTGCAGTTTCGCCCCGCACTGTACTCCAAGGCCATCCTAACCCTTCATCACCTCCCCAGTCTCCTTCCTCCACACCTCTTCCTTCAACAGTTGCCTTTTTCTTTTCTTTTCAAAAGAAAAAGGGAGCCAAAAGCAACCTCCTGCAGCTTCCTATACACCCTTCTGTACACTCTCCCTTCCTGCCCTCAGTTGAAGAAATGAGCTTGCCCTTGTCTAGTCTGAACTGTCAAGAAGGACCCCGGGGCTCTTTCAGACCTCATTGCCTTGAGCAGCTTGGGACTTGGCCACTGTTGACCACTACCTTCTTCCTCTTTAAACCTTCTTCCCTCTCGGCTTTATGGACAATATCATCATTTTGCTGTAGACAAAGGTAAACTCCTTTGTGTTCATTGGAATGCACCATCCTTGGACCAGGAATGGAAACCCACAACCCGACTTCATTCCTTTCGCTCACACCTCTGGTTCTCTAAACAGTCTTGTTTCTTCCCATTTTCCTCCTTTCAACTCCATTCTCAATACCTGATTAAATTTTCCAAGGAAAATCTGGGCATGCCATTGCTCTTCTATGGTTTCCCCATTGTCTTTGGCACGAAGTTCAGGTGCCTGGATAAGACACACAGGCCTCCAAGACTAGACTCTGCACTTGCCCTTTGGGCCTTACTGGATGCCACTTTAGACTTTGCATGACTCCCAATTGCCCCTGTGCCCTCCGTGTTGTTCTAAGGCTCGATTGCTGCTCACCCTCACCTGCCTGTCTGTATCCCCTCCACAGTGTCCACTTGTATCACACCTACTCATCTCGTACTACCAGGCTCAAGTTATACCTCTCCTGAGAATCCTTTCTGGGCTCCCAAGTAGTGTTAAGTTTTCATAGCTGCCTTTGTGCTCCTGTGTCTTAAGCCAAATTCTGCCATAGCACCTGCACCTACTTGTGGAGAATTAACCAGTGTTATCTCTCTTCACAGGAGTCAGAATGAACTCGATTGTGTGTTTTCAATTTCAGTGTTATCTTCAAAATACACAGATCTATTTTTTGGTTTTCCCTTTTGAGTAGGGCTATATTGTAAGAAATATGTACCAGGTCAGAATAAGTCCAGGCAAAACTAGTTTCATTCATACCTTCCCAATTCCCTTCCTCCACTTTTTCTTTTCCTTATTCCTGGATTCTGCCAATATGTTTGAATAAAATTGTGACCACTGCTGCATGATTCAAGAAGGCAAAAGTTAATATTTGTGGTAAAAAAGAATGTCAATTATAAAATTAGAGGCCAACAATAATTGCTTAAGGCAAAGCTTATTGGCCCCCCAATGCCATATCATATCAGTAAAAGAAAACTTAAAACTCTAAGGAATACTAAGAGTTAAGCTTTAAAGAATAACTTAGAAATAATTAGTGTGAAGGATTGAGGACTCATTTCTAATTGTGCTGACCAATATGGTGACCACTGGCCATAATGACTGCTTAAATTTGAATAATTTGAAATCAAATAAAATTTCAATTCCTTGGTTGCATTAGCCACATTTCAAAGGCTCCGTAGCCACATCCACATGGGAGGGCGCTGGTGGCTAATGTATTGAAAAGGACAGGTTTCACATCATTTCCAAAATTTTCATCACCGTAGAAGGTTGGGCAGTGTTGCTCCAGATGTTTAATCTAGGAAAAGCAGTCCCTATCCAGTAGTTTCCAACGCCAAAAAGAAGAGTGAGTCTTTTAAATAAAAAGAGTACAGAGCCTCATTGGAAAAGGGACTGATCTGTTGCAATGAGTTCTTGATTTGTTCGGTCAGCTGGTGGGTGGGCCCCAGTCTATAAGATGGTGGAAAGAGAACAGGCCATAGTTCACCACTGCTGTGTTTTTCAGTTTATTTCAAAAAGTTTTTGGAGAGGTATATGCTCTTCTTTCTCCTGGGTCCTCACAGCTTGTTATTTTTCACCCTCTAGAGTCAGGGTCCTGCACTGGCAAATTCAAGTGTGCTTGTTGGCATAGGATGGTTCTGTGATCAATTCCTCAGACTCTAAGAGTGTGTCTCATCCCTATGAGTCCAGAAGATCTCATTGTTCTTCCTAGAAGGCTAATCAGTACTGACCATACTAATGGGAAGTTAGTGGGTATGTCCCAGGAATACAGCCTGTGCATTTTAATTCCTACTTCCTGAAGACAGTGCCTTCTTTTTTCAGGGATATTTGAAAGACCTAGCAAGAAGTTTTTGTAGGATGTCAACATTCTGTGCTTTAGTTGATCTAGGACAGAACATTTCTTTTTTAAATTTATTTATTCTAATTACGTATATGTCAGCAGAATGCATTTTGATTCATTGTACACAATTGCAACACAACTTTTCATTTCTCTGGTTGTACATGATGTAGCATTGCACCATATGTGTAGTCATACATGTACCTAGGGTAATGATGTCCATCTCATTCCACCATCTTTCCTGCCCCCGTGTCCCCTCCCATCTCCCTCCCATTTGCTCAGTCACAGTTCCTCCATTTTTCCCATGCCTACGCCCTGCAATTATGGATCAGCATCCACTTATCAGAGAGAACATTTGGCCTTTGGTTTTTGGGGATTGACTTACTTTGCTTAGCATGATATTCTCCAACTCCATCCATTTACCTGCAAATGCAATAATTTCATTCTTCTTTAAGGCTGAGTAATATTCCATTGTGTATATATACCACAGTTTCTTTATCTATTTATTTATTGAGGGGCATCTAGGTTGGTTCCACAGTTTAGCTACTGTGAACTGAGCTGCTATAAACACTGAGGTGGCTGCATCACTGTAGCATGCTGCTTTTAAGTCCTTTGGGTATAACCCTAGAAGTGGGATAGCTGGGCCAAATGGTGGTTCCATTCCAAGTTTTCTAAGGAATCTCTATAATGCTTTCTAGATTGGTTGCACCAATTTGCAGTCCCACCAACAATGTACAAATGTGCCTTTTCCCCCACATCCTTGCCAAAATTTATTGTTGTTTGTACTCTTGATAACTGCTATTCTGAATGGAGTGAGATGAAATCTTAGAGTAGTTTTGATTTGCATTTATCTAATTACCAGAGATGTGGAACATTTTTTCATGTTTTTGTTGGTCTATTGTATGCCTTCTTCTGAGAAGTGTCTGTTCAGCTCCTTAGCCCATTTATTGATTGGATTTTTTGGGGGGTGTTAAGTTGGGACAAGTAAATTTCTATATGATATAAAGTGTACCCAAAGAAATCTCTTTTCCCTAGAACGCAGAGGATACATACTTGGAAAAATCAGTGCCTGATTTAAAATTCAGAGAATATCAGATCTTGCTTCTTGTGATTTGTTAATTCCCAATCCTGTTTTTCATTTTCCACGACCCTCATGTTTTTCTTTTAATAGATATCCTAACTTCTGGGTAAGAGTTAGGGTACTATAAATAATAAATAAGCTGGATTTGTGTAGGTCATTTGAAGGTCAGACAGGTTTAGGATTAGGAAAGGGACTGACATGGTTGAAAAATGAGAAAAAGAAGCAAGTGAGGAGTTCTTAGTATTAGAAAGCTTTCACTCACTCATTTATACATTGTCTGTGGTATATCTGCCATATACCAGGTACTAGCAAAACAATATCTATAACTTTAGTATATCTTTCACATGTTATGTGATAACAACATACTTGTGATGTGTTTTTAAATAAATATTACTTTTATGGTTGAGGAAAGCAAGGCTCAGAGATCCAAGGTCACATAGCCAGTTGGCAGTAAGGCTAGGATCCATTTCTGGATCTGACACCATTGTTCTTTTCCTGACATGCTGAAGCAGGAAATCCAACTCTATGTTTATTTTGTTTCAGGTCCTTGTTCCATGGATCAGATGGAAGTTGAGTGCCAGGATTACATCTGGAAATGGTACTACAGTGAGAAGCAGGAGGCTTGCCAATAGTTCTGGTATGGCAGCTGCGGAAGCAATGCCAGATGGTTTGAAACCAAGGAAGAATGTGAAGCTTGGTGTATCTCCAGTTAGGCAGAGTCTTATGGCTATTGCTCCTCTACCCTTATTGAGCCAGTGTCATGACACTTTTAAGTGTCACAGACATCACATTTCTTGCTCCCTGAATTTTTTTTTTTCTTGCCAGTGAGGTCCTGGGGCTAGATGATTTGTGACTTGAGAAGGGCTGAATTCTAAGAGTTAAAAAGAATAACCAAATGAAAGAGAAACTTGAACTTAACCTCTAAAATTATTTTGAAGTTTGGGGAGCTACGTAGCAAAATAGATATCAATGGAAGTAGTGAGCAAAACCTAATTCAGAAAGGAGTTGAAAATTGCTTTGTCTTTTGACTACCAGAGAATAGAGAAGTCAAAGAGGGGGATGTCTAATGTGAAGTTCATCATCACTACCTAATATAAATAAATAAAGGCATTCTTTATGAAATCTTTAGGGGTGAGACTGCGTGTGATTCCTGTTGACGGCAACCTGTGATGTGCTTTGTGACATAGCAGTTGATAGAGTGGAGACAGCAATGACTTTTCCATGGGACCAGTCCTTTGGCATCAATTGGCCTAAAATATGGTGACTTCTGTCCTTGGAAACATGGTGACTCAACAATTACAGCTGTCATTGTCCATGCAAAGATGAAATGAAAGGTTTTGATTCATCATGGACAATGTAATTTTGCAATGTAAGAAGTGAGGATGAGAGAGAGAGAGAGAGAGAGAGAGAGAGAGTGCGCGTGTTTTGCAAGATCTTCTTTTGCCTGGCAACTTGATTCTCCTGGCCTCTGAATTTTTACTCAGTTTCAGATTTGGGGACGAGATAGAAGGGGGCTGCTGGGTATTGGTAATTAATTCATTGCTGTAAGATGAATTAATCAGCTTGGGCTTCCTTAACAATTTATCATAGCCTGGGTGCCTTAAACAACAGACATTTATTTCTCACAGTCTTGGAAGCTAGAAATTCAAGATCAGCGTGTTAGCCTATTTTGTTCCTGCTGAGGTAGTTCCTTCCTGGCTTGCTGGTGGTCACCTTCTTGCTGTGTCGCACAATGGCCTTTCCTTGGTACATGCTCATGGTGGGAGGAAGCGAGGGAGATGGAAGAAGAGGGAGAGAGAGAAAGAACAAACTGGTATCTCTTCTTGGGAGCATACCAATCCCATTGTATTAGAGCCCCACCCTTATCTAATCTAAAGGCCCTATATTCAAAGATAGTCACATTCATAAAAGATCCCAAGCAGCTGGTGGCTGTCTCTAGGGATGCAGAGTGGAGTTGCTCTCTGGCAAGTTCGGTGACTGATTTCTAGAATACTCTTTGTTCCTTCACACAGATGACAGTGCAGAGGAGATGGGAACCAGTTTTATACTGAATGTTCAAAGAAATGTTAAAATATTTATTCTATTTTTGTGACAATTATTTTCATCTGATCACAAAAGAATGACTATGTGTTCATTGTAGCCAATCTGTACAACACAGAAACACACATGAAAGAAATAAAGATGAGGGCTGTTGCAGCTCAGTGGTAGAGTGCTCGCCTCACATGTGGAAGGCACTGGGTTCAATCTTCAGCATCACATAAAAATAAAATAAAAGTATTGTGTCCATCTATGACTAAAATATTTAAAAAATCATAAATAAAGATCACCTATAATCTTCATCTGAAGGTAACCATTTTTTTTTAATGCCTGGATATACTATCTATTTTTTTTTCTTCCATAAAGTACTGATTTTGGAGACAGCATTTTGGGAATGAAATGGCAACTCTTCCATCTTGCTTGACAGAGCTGCTCATGGTGTGAGTGTGTGTGACCATTATTTAAGGCAGAATTCCAACTACCTGGGCATAAGGGGGCCACACTGGTTATCCAGAGGAAGGATTTGATTCGAGTTGTGATTATTTTCCACTTCTGACTCTTATCTGCCCTTTCCTTGCCCAGGAGTTCAGAATGCCAAGGCAAAGTTTCCATAACTAGAGGACCATTGGGAGGAGGTATTCAAGTGTGTTGGTTATTCCATCATTGGAACATTTGTGAGGTCCCACTGCAGTTCTCCCTGCATTTCCTAGGTGGTGGTATAACCCTTCCATGCAGCTCCTCTGACTCCCAGCAAAAACTACTCCATAAATCCCGAGGTACCCAGATACTGGAACCAAGAGGCAGAAGCAATTATCTATCGTTTTAGACGCTCTTCATCCCCACTCGCAAACACAATTTATGAAGCACTTTCCCATGTTATCTTATATATTTGCCCACTCCCACCACTAACTCCCAGATGTCTGCCTTGTTCTTATTTCTGGAATGAGGAAACTATTTCAGAGACGTGACCTGCCCCTGACATATAACAGAAACTGGTTTTGAGATCCTTTGGATCCTGAGACCAAGGCTCCTTTTGTGGTACTCCACTCATGGTCAACCACGGAGCCGCTACCTGAGAATTTTGAAGGCTAGAACTGTAGATGCCCAAGATGTTGGAGGATGGGAAGGGAGAAAGGCTTGACCTTTTGACCTTGCAGGCAGCCTCGCTCTTTTCACCGGAAAGAAGCAGGAATGGATTGAAGAGAAGTTGAATTGCAATGCAGGCCAATCCTAACCGCCTGAACTGACCCCACAGGGAGCTCTGGAACCAAAAGGGCTTTTTGGAGTTGCTCCAGGGTGGGCCTAAATGGCTGGGCCAGTATTCCCTGCGTCCATTAGCTGCTGGATGTGGGAACCCAGGGCAGGGTATACTGGTGGACGAGGCAGCTCTGCAGTCGTGGAAGACTTGAATGGGGCCCGGATGCAGGGTCTCTGTCAAGAGCTCTCCTAGCAGCTAGGGCAACAAACAGGTCCTGCTTGAAGGTGGGTCTGGGTGGCACACACTGCGTCCATGACAGTCCATCCATGTCCTTTTGCATGCTGTTTTCAAGTCTCCTCAGCTTCCAAAACCCAATAGGACATACTCAAAAAGTTTGTGTGGCATTCAAGGCCTCAGAGATCTGTTTTTGTCCCAGCAGCTCAAGAGGCTGGGGCAGGAGGATTGTGAGTTCAAAGCCAGCATCACCAATTTAGTGAGACCCTTTCTCTAAATAAAATATAAAAAAGGGCTGGGGATGTGGCTCAGTGGTAAAGCACTCCTGGATACCACAAACAAACAAACAAAAAAACCCAATCTGGTCTTTGTATTCATCTCTAGCCTTACCAATGGTGACAACTGCTCTGTCCCTCTAACTGAGCAGTACCAAATAAATCATTCATAGTCTTCTGGAAATGCCATATTCCATCCATCTGTGCTGTTGACACACCTGTGGGAAATATCTTTATTTCATTTATTTAAATACACTTAATAGGTACCTGCTATATTGGTCCACAATCTGTGTCAAAACCCAGCTCTGTTCTCATTGTCTCATTGTCTCTGTGAAAGTGACTCCAAGCCTCCTACAGACTGCTTTGTACACTCCTCTCTTTTGCTCTTTCCCTACCATTCACACCATGTCCCCATTGGTCTCAACATTAGACTGTGAGTCTTTTCACCTGAGAATCCCCCTGCGCAGTACCTGTCCTTTTAGTTCTGATTTGCTTCTCTTCCAGTCCTATAGTTTGGGTTTCGAATGCCTCCAAAGGCCCGTGTGTTAAAGGCTTGGTCACCAACCTGTGGCACTATTGGGAGGTGGCTGAACATTTAGGAGGTGGGGCCTACTGGAAGGAAGTTGGTCCCTGGGGGTGTGTCCTTGGAGGGAATACTGCCTCCCAGCTACTGAGAGGTGAGCAGCTTCCTCAGCATGAGCTCCCAGAGCAACAGCCGACCGACCATGGATGGAAACGTCAAAAACCAAGAACCAAAATAAAACTTTCCTCCTTATAAATGGATTTATCTCAGGTATTTTGCCAGTGTTCAAAGACTGTTAGATGTGTCCTCAACTATCTTTGATATTTTCTTTCCTTCCCCATCTCTTGCTCTATCCAAACTCTTTGTTTTATAGATTATGGATTTTTATTATTATTCTGCATTTATTTCAGACATCAAGGCATCTATTTCCCATCAGGGAAATAGATCAGCCATCCCAGGGTCACTTCAAGGCATCTATTTCCCATCAGCCAAGTGGAAAGAGTTTCATGTGTTTGAAAAGTCTCCTTCAGATCTGTTATCACCTTGCATTGCTTTGGGGATATTAATTTTTTATGATGAAGGTATTAAGACCCAGAAAGGTCAAGTGACATTGAGTCTCATGCAGTGAATCAGTCGGTAGTCTAAAATTTGAAGTAAAATGTGTTTTGAGCGGATTTGGCATCTGTTTGTGCCAAATTGGCCTGAATTGCAATGCAGGCCAATTCTAATTGCTTGTTTGGTTTACTCTGCAAAGTTTAAGGGTTTTATTCATTATGTGAACTGACCACTTTGCACTTTTGAACATGTAGTAGATTTCATTGATCCTAGGAAATTGGAGGCTTAGGGCTGCTAGGCTCAGAACTTGGTTCCTAGCTATGTATCAAAGTGTAGAAATAAATCTGAGGATTTTTCTTGCACTCCCTTGAGTGGAGGTCTTGCTGACTAGGTACTATTCAGGATTTTTTTCTTATTTGCTTAATTTTTTGCCATTTTGGGATCTCTTGTGGTAGATCATTCCTTTTCATTTTTTAATGACCTCAAAGGTATACTTTTTTTTTTTTTTAAACTCAGGGGCACGCAACCACTGAGCCACATCCCCAGCCCTATTTTGGATTTGATTTAGAGACAGGGTCTCACTGAGCTGTTAGTGCCACTCTTTCTGAGGCTGGCTTTGAACTCATGATCCTCCTGCCTCAGCCTCCAGAGCTTCTGGGATTACAGGCATGCGCCACTGTGCTCAGCTACAAAGGTATACTTTTAATCCTGCTGTGGATCCGCTATTTGGGTTATGATATTATGGTACATTCTAAGACTGGGGCACCTCCTTCAGCATTAGTTCCCTCCCTGGGACTTCACATAAGATACTCCATTTTTTCTGGCTTTTGTTTTTTTTCTGGTGTAGGTGCCTGGAGATGAGAGAAATCTTTCTTGCCCATTTATATTCTAAGTTCTGCATGCAAATAAAATAGTTCTTTCTGTAGCCCATCTTTCAGGAAGATAAAAGTAGCAAGTCCAGCTGAGGACAAAAGAACCATCCAGCTGAACTCAATCCCAAATTATAAACCCCCAGAACAATGTGGTAAATAAATGGCTATTTAAAACACTAAGTTTGGGGCTGATTATTGTTTGGCATGAATTTTGGCTAATACCACTCATGTGTCCACAGTCAGCTATCAGTCTGTTGGCCACTTGGCCAGCCCAGGGTCACTTCCCAGTGATAAATAAATAAAAAGTATATATTTATCTCTACCTTGGAAAGAAAGAAGTCATACAGTTTGTATTTGTAGATTATATGAATGTCTATCTGGAGAAGTAAAAAACCCTAGGAGA